CGCAGAGGGAGAGATGACCAAAGAGGAAAATATGAAAAGGAAAATTCTGCCTACGTTTCATGATGAAAAGAAATTCACTAATGTATTGTCTCAAGTTGTAATGAACCAGTGAAACCACCCAGGTGACACACAAGTCCAGGTAAGACTGTCACTCCCAGGTGACAGTATTCAGTATTTTTTATTCAGTATTTTCAGAATATTTACTATAAACTGCCTAGAATAATGTTTGATGCAGAAAAGATAGTCAAGAGTAGAAAACTTCAAACCCGCCCCCCAGAATAATTAAACTGATGAAAATTTCCAGAAGGGTCAGGAGGAAAGGGCACTAGCTGGAGCTTTTCTTTGACATTTTCTACGACACTGTCTCAGCACCTACAAGTCGCCAACTCAGGAACCACTACACGAGCAGCTTAAGGGATATGCAGGCACGCCCGAGCAGGGGCCAGCGCAATCCCACGGCTCTCTTCCGCCTCATGAAGAGAGGCAGCAACAAAGCCACATAAGATGTCCCACCTCGTTCCTGTACCTGTGTCCATTCAGTCTCAGAAGCAGGCGAGCCAGACTGCTCCTGCCTCCATCACCTGTGATCTCAAGAACCATGAGTGCTATGGAGAAATGTGGGTGCTGTCCATACTGTGAGAAATGCTATTTTTTTCTCTTTGCAAGTTGCCAGAACATCTGAATAACCGCAAGTACAAATATTCCAAACTTTTTAGTTTCCTCTAATTTTTTCCTATATTGTATCAGCTTTGTGCTGATACTCCTGGGCATAATGTAGAGGTCGGATTTTAAAACTTATTACTAAGTGATAACACTACTTAGTATTTACTCTTATGTATTAAATCAATTTAATCCAATATTTCATTTTAATGCTAATTTTATAAAGATTTTTAAAATTTAATTTTAAAGAGAAGGGAAGGGAGAGAAAAAGAGAGGGAAAGAAACATCAGTGTGATTGGGAAACATCGATCGGTTGCCTTTATTTTGCACCTGAGCCGGGGACTGCACACACAGCCCAGGCCTGTGCCCTGACCAGGAAGCAGACCAGTGAGCTTTCGCTTGGTGGGACCACACCCAACCAGCTGACCCACACCGGTCAGGGCTCAATGCTAAATTTAAAATATGCTTTGTGATAAATGTTTTCTTCAACATCTGGAATGATAAAACAGACTCAAATATTATTTGGGACACTGCCAACTGTGGAACTGCAAAGTGGGAACCGAGAATTTAAATAGAGACACGAGATAAGGCCAAATATAGCTTTCACTACCCAGCTATGCCATACTCATATACATACATAATGTCTTGCATATTCATGTAACTTATACATAAATATAGACACCCTTTAATGAACAGAGCAAGTGCATCAGAGATGGATAAAGTAAACACTGGTGTGAAAATGAATTATATGTACTCACACAGCCTTAAATCAGTCACAACAGCTACTCATTTATTCTTTCTCCTGCTGTGGACATTAACTACTTTGTGAATTTAGGACATATCTTAATCATAAGTACCAAAACCTGCTGTCACAGGAAGTTCTGAGTTGAGAGAAAAAAACCTGTGAAAGAATTAAGCATTTCGAAAAACACAAATACATGCAAAACTCAGTATTCCATTTAGAGCACTCACAGAATTCCCTTTGCATCCAAGTCCCAATCTGAGCTAACTCCCTGAGTTCACATAGGAGGAAACTGATCCCCAGGATAAGCGGTACACCTGAAGTCCCACAGATAATTAGTAGAGAAGTCAGACTAGAATTTCTGAGTTTTGGGTCAAATGTTCTCTTTGACTCAAGTCACTTGCACAGTTTACTGTTTCGATTACTAGGTTACTCATTTATTAGTTCCTAACCTCTTCAAGAGCAAAATCAAACTCAATCTACACTATATGCCCTAACAGCTAACTCAGAATTTGCTAACAGTTGGAAAGACGTCGCTGGCCACAGCCGATTGGAATGTCCACCCTATGTAAGGGCTTTGGTCTGTAGGAAATCACCCACAGAGCCTCTCACTGGAGTCCCCTGGGAAATAAGAACACTTGTTTGCAAAATGCTTGGTCATTTTCCTCTGTCCAAAATGACCCAACATTCCCATGAATCTCAGCTCCACTGGCCTCTCCTTCAGCTAACTGGGTAAAGCAGTTCCAAGAACCCAGAGTGTCTTCACTGACTCACTCTGGGGAGGGACCTGCCAGGGACACAAGGACAATTACTTCCTTCATCTTTGCTCTGAGTTTCAGCTGAAGGTGAGGCAAGTAGGGAAATATTTTTGTTTGTGTTCAACATACTTCAAAAAGACACTAAGCTCATATATTTTTAAGACCTGATTTGAAAACTCCTGTAAAGCATCAGAGACAAACAAGATACAGCAGTAGTAAGATCAGAAAAATAATAAGAATAATGGCTATTTTGAGTGCTATTGTACTGTACCCAAAAGCCGCTGCTGACAGAACTGCAGTAAATTGTCACAGCAAACCTATAAGGTGGGCATGTTAAAATCCTCATTTTACAAATGTGGAAGCTGACCCAGGGGCATCACGGGAAAAGGTGGCGGTGAGCAGTGATCTGCGTGCAGAACAGCCTCACAGCAAAGCCCACACACCTGCATCCCGTATTTGTACAAAAAACACATTTTCCCTAGGTTAGCAGTTTTATTAAGTTCATTCTTGGCTTCAAGAGTCATACTTTGGGTACTGATTTTACAAAGCTCCCTTCCAACAAAAGTTGAACTTCAGTACGTTTGTTTAGAAAATGCTGCGAGAGCTCCTTCTGTGCTCCAGCCTGCCCGTGTGGATCCATTTCTATTTCTCTGTTCATTTTCCTAGACTCTTCAGGTCTCACAGGCTGATTCTTCCTCTGGGTTGTAACTTTGCCAGGCTCTCGCTCTGACTGGTGAAATACCCTCCTCATTTCTAGGGGAGCCCAGGCACTTTCTTCTGCATCTATTTTCTCTTCCTCTCTGTAATCCCCTTTTTAAAAAGATTTTATTTATTTATTTTTAGAGAGAGGGGAAGAGAAGGAGAGAGAGGGAAAGAAACATCAATGTGTGGTTGCCTCTCACGTGCCCCACCACCACCACTGGGGACCTGGCCTGCAACCCAGGCATGTGCCCTGACTGGGAATGGAACCATTGACCCTTTGGTTCACAGGCCTGCGCTCAATCCACTGAGCGATGCCAGCTGGGGCCTGTAATCCCTTTTCATACCTGATGCTCCTCTCTGTCAGGGGAGCAAGCCTTATCGTATCACATACACATCAGAGAGGGTTTCCACCTGGCCAAAGGCCCAAAGTGACCTGTGAAAACACCTTCCTCTCTTCTCTGCGTGTTTAGGACATCGAAACAGACAAACCACCTGGCTACTACTACCTACGACCAACTTGGCTGCCTTCACAGATGTCTACTTCAGCATCGCTCCCCAGAGCTGCACAGTCTAAATATCTGACAGGTCCCTAAACAAACAAAATACAATCACCACCAAAACATATGTACAAAAATATTCAATGGAGCACTATTTCTAATACATCCAAACTGGAAAACTACCTAAATATCCATCGACTGTAAAAGCGATGGATAACTGAATCCCATGATAGCAAGGAAAATGAAAAATAGTAACATACATGCAATATCCTAGATGAGTTCCACAAATGTAATGAGGAAATTAAGCTAGACACAAAAGAATGTATACTGTATTGTATGTACATAAACTTTAAAAATAGGCGGAACTAATGAATCGATGAGGCATTAGAAATGAGGAAACAGATTACACCTGGGAGCGTCAGGAGAGGAGGGCGCTGGGTGCTGGTGATTTTCGGCCAGTCCGAGTGCCGTGACACAGGTGTGTCTGTCCACTTCATCACAATCCTTCCATCAGGCCTTCCACTCATGATCTGTGCTCTTTCCTCTGGGTATCGGATACTTCAATGAAAGGCTCACTGACAGAGACCCTGGAGAACATCTGGTCTGCCCTCCTTGGTTGATAGAAGTGTCTGTAACTGTTTCCCATGGAGATTAAACGTCTCAAGGACACAGGGAATCCAAGGAAAAGCTGGGACTGAACAGTAGCTCTCTTAACTTCCCATTCAAAAGTGGGAGGATATTTCTCTAATTTCCTTCCCTGTGACTACAGCTAAGGTTTAGAAGGATTAGGATCACCTTCTTATTAAGAATACAAACCAGAAGTTTCCAGTCTCCTACCCACAGATGCACCAGAAAAAGCTTCGAACACTATTTAGGACACAGTAAATCAGACAGTCAGACGGAGCTGTGCTCACACCCTGCGTTCTGCCACGTACTAGCTGTGTGACCAGACGATGTGTGACCATCTATCAGCGTACCTCCCACCTCTCTCTGCATCTCAGTATCCTCATCTAGACCCCTGACATATTAAACTTACTTTGCAAGGTTGGAAGGAGGAAAATATAAGATCATAGGTTCAGGGCAGTGCCTGGCAACATGGCGGGCCCACAAAAAGTAGTCATAGAATGAGAATTGAATTGAATTAGTCTGGTGTTGGTCACTTAGTGCAGGCTCAGTAAATAATTAAGTCTTATTATTACTGAGCAAGAGAAACAGGAAGAAAAGGTGTAAACAAGCTTATATGAAAACACCTCATTTTTCTGTAGGGTCATTAATGGGTCCACCAGCGATTCTCACTGGCCTAGACGGGCACTGAAATGGTCTGAGTAAAGAGCGACAGAGGACTTGAAGGGAAGGCGGTGCTTTTCACATGCTACCAGGTCTGCATTTTCCTTCTCGGGGTCAAAACATGATTTGCTCACTGACTGCCGCAACATGCCTAAATTCTACAGCCACCTATGCTAGTCATACTCGTTTTAGAATGAAGATTTTAAAGAGTGGGGTGGGTCATAAATTCTCATAGACATAATAAGTAGACTGACTTTACCACTGGGAAAAAATTTACACACCAATATACAGTAAGGCAATTGCAGGCTTTAAAGATGTCAGAAATGAATAATGGTGAAGAGTGATTTCACTTACATTAAAAAGGCGGGTTTAATACTGACTCTTTTTCTTCAGCTCTTCAAATCTTGCACGCACTTATTAGCAAACTCATCCATAAAGTTCTTCAATACTGAAAAGAAACAAGTAAAGAAGATATAAATCATAACTAATTTCAAATCATAGCGTACCAGAAAAAATATAATCCGTCGATGGTAAGTTGTTGTATATGCAAGGGACATCAAACTAGATAACACATGTTAGTAAAGTTTAAAAATGCGTTAAGGACCAATAGATTTAACTGACTTAACTCCCATTTCATCCTTCAGTCTGCTCCTCCCCCCCACCCAGCACTCCCTCCCTCTCGGCCACCCTAACTACCTCAGTTACTAAACAATCGTGATGGTCCTTGAAGCCCGAGTTTCTGCTGAAATCACCATCATTAATTTTTGTAGCCTGAAGTCCCTGATTCATGTTTGTTACTCTATGAATGTTTGTTAAGTAAATAAATCACAGTTTTACAATATTTAGTTAAGATTTTAAAAATGAAGAAATTTATTATTTTCTTGTCCAACAAGAACAATAGGTAGGCAATATGTGGAAATGTAATACCCTGTTTTATAGACTTGTGTTTTTGATTGATTCCCTTATCTCTTTTAAATATATATACTTAGAAAAAAGTCCCAACAGTATACATGTAGATTCCCACCATAATAGTAATAAAATATATTTGGGCAGTAAAAGAATTATTCGGAAACTGTAAGTTCCTTTTGAGGTGCTCACTCTTCAAATACCTCAGAACTACCTCCATCTAAAAACAAGAAAGCACCCCTGGCTTGTGTAGCTCAGTGGATTGAGCGCGGGCCTGCAAACCAAAGGATCGCAGTTCCATTCCCAGTCAGGGCACATGCCTGGGTTGCAGGCCAGTTCCCAGCAAGGGATACACGAGAGGCAACCATACATTGATGTTTCTTTCTCCCCTTCCCTTCTCCTCTAAAGATAAATAAAATCTTTTAAAAAATTTAAAAATGAGAAAGCAAAGTATTTCCAAGTTAAATACGAGAGATACTATCTCAACATGTGCTTTTAGATATGTGTATGTATGTGTATGTATATATATACACACACACCATATATATATATACATATATATGTATATATATATATGTGTGTATATATACGTATATGTGTGTGTGTGTGTGTGTGTGTATATATATATATATATATATATATATATATATATATATATATATATGGTCGGGGCCAGTTCCAGACAAAATTATAAAGTAGAGGAGTGTAGCAACTTCCTTCTTCTAGCCACACCTTTGAAGAGTCAGTAACTCCAGATGTTTAATTAAGTAGGAAAAAAAATAGGATTGGTTCCAAAGTTCCAACGATTTGATGGATATCCTTCCTGAGGACATTTTCGTTAAAAAAAAAAAAAAAAAAAAAAACCCTCTAGAACGCAGGTGCTTAACACCAAAATAAAATGAATTACTGACAGCGGAATTTCAGGCATGAATGGAGAACAGAGATTGTCTTGAAGGAATTTCTCAACTCAGGTTCACATCTGTCCATTCAGCCTCCCCTAAAACTGGCTTCATACATGACCTACATACAGGGGTGCACAAAAGTAGGTATACAGCTGTAATGCAAATAATACAATCATTAATAAGTAATATAAGAATAAACTCTGTTTTGTGTACTTGCAACTATAAACATACTCTTGCCCACCCCCGTATACACACCACTCTAGGTAAGTGTTAAGCAATTTATGATGCAAACATAGGTAAGCCTCATTTTAAGATTAGTTTGTGCTCTAAAAGTAGTTATATGAATCATCAGTTGTCAAGGTCAGTGTCGAGGAACCCTCTCCTGTAGGTGCTTCTGAGAATGGAAGCAGGAGTGAGTGGATGTGCGGCAGTGGGCGGAGCAACTTCACCTTAATTGATCTCTTTTATAATTTGATCCAAAACTTTCTTAGGAAAGAGGATACTTGAGCTGCTTATACAAGGGCTGAAACTAAATGGTGATTATATACATTAAAGCTAGTGAAGAAAAATCCCAGTGAGTTTATAACATAGCTGATGTAGAACAGTAATCCCACCAAAATCCAACCACCAGAGCCAATCTAACAGAGCCTTTGTGGTAAAACGTGAGTTCTAGGTTGGGTCCCTAGAACACAGGTCAGCCTGCGTCCAAGCAGGCAGGAGCCAGACCTTCTCTTCCTTCCCAACCAGTGTCCTTGTCTCCTGCCCTGGGACAAACAGCAGAAGGCAGGACACCTTTACTTCCACGAAGCCTGAGCCAACAGTGAGGCAATGAGAATAGGGCGGGGAGAACCTGTGGATACTCCCGAGGTGGGCAACTAGGGGCTCCAGCAGGGAACACGGCTCAGCGGATTTCTGTGGGTCAGTCACTGCCCCAGCCCCTGCCCCAAACCCCATGAGCCTCCTTGCTAGCAATTCCACGTGATATTTTACATACATCCAGGCCGCTTAGAAATGGGGAAGAGAAAGTCAGTGGCACTGTTTAAAGAGAAGAAAATATGTACGCCTATGAGTTCTGCCAGACCCAATTCAGAACGACATGCGAAAGTAGAAAACACTTTTTTTAAGAGTATTCTAAGAAAGTACTGCCTGAATTTGTTCCAGAGGAATTCATTTACTGAGAGGCACTGACACAGTCATCCCTCCCTCAACACAAAGCTCCGATTATTTGACCCAACCAGGACTGAATACATAAAAACATTTATAAACATAAGCCACTGGATTTTTTGAGTTTCCATCATGAGCCTTGTTTAAGTCAGTCAAAGATGTCCTTTGTTATACAGTTTTGATCAAATGCAAGAGACTTTAGTCATTTCCTCAGAGACACACGTAAGCTGTAAATATGAACCAACCAACAGGGCCAGCTACTCACAAAAAGGCGCACTGACAAATTTAATATAAAAACAAGAACACATTATTAAACTGAAAAACAGCGCATAAAAAAATCCGAACCCATGCAAACAACATTCTTAGCAGAAAAAAAACCCATAATGTAATGACAAAGATAAATACGAGTAGTTTTTTATTTAACTCACAATCTTTTCTTATACAGAGTTTTCAAAAACAAAAACAGAAAACAGTCTGTATTTGTGTTCATTTAATAAAAACAAATGCTTAACATCCTGCCCAAGCCTCAGATTGCAAATTCCAAGAAAATCCTCTGCACCATTAAATAAATGACTTTTGTATATTCCTTTGCAATAGATAACACATTTACTACTATTGCTTATTTTCTAAATCCCTTTGATATTCTAAAACATGAGCATCACCACTAAGAATAACATGTTATACTTGGTCATTGGGAACTGAAGTTACTATTTACCATAATAATGCCATATTTCATAATTTAAAACTAAACTAAAAACCAAAGTTTCTATTCAGGTATGACCTAAGCATCTAAAGCAGGAGTCTAAAGCAGAGTCTAAATAAGGCCTGCCCCTGTTTTGAAAATAAACTTTTATTAACACAGCCATGCCCATTCACTCACGTTATTATCTACGGCTGCTTTTTCAATGACGGAGTTCAATAGTTGCAACAGAGACTGTAAGATTCCAAAAGTATAAAACATTTACTACCTGATCTGACCCTTTAAGAAAACGTTTTCTGACCTCTGGTCTAGGAAACAGCCACATTAGTGAACTAAATCTTGAAACAAGAAACACTAATCCTGGCTTAGTCATCTTGCTAAATAACTACCTCAGTCGTTTCATCTTGGGCTACTTTAACTTTCTCACTTACAATACAATAATAGATAATATTTACTGGGAACTTATGTACCAGGCGCTCATCTTAGGGCTTTACTTTTACTAAAGTAACAACAAAGTCATTCATTTAATTGTGGCTCAAACCCTGTGAGCAAAGTAAATGACTGTCCCCATCTCCCAGATGAGGGCACTGAGGGGTGAAATAACTTGCCAAGGCCACACTGCCATTAAGTGAAAAAATCAGGATCAGAACCCAGGCAACGGGGGTCCGGAGCTGGTATCATCCGTCCCTGTGCTAGATTGATAATAATTTTAATTTGATATGTTATTAAAGGTGTGCTGCTTAGAAATGTCAATTCAAGGCAGTAGCATACACCACTGAAAGGATTAAGATAAGATACCTAAAATAAGGCCTGACCGGTGTGGCTCATTTGGCTGGGCATCTTCCCACAAAACGAAAGGTCACCATTTCAATTCCCAGTGAGGGCACATGCCTGCGTTGTAGGTTCAGTCCCCGGTTGGGGTGCCTGCAAGAGGCAACTGATCGATATGTCTCTCCCTCTCTTTCTCTCTCCCTTCCCCTCTCTCTAAAAATAAATAGAATCTTTAAAAAAAAAAAAAAAGAAAAGAAGATACCTTAATTAAGACTGTAACTGGACTTCCACAGAGTTTTAAGACCCTTCCAATTTCTAAGATTAAAGCTAACCTTGGGGTATTGGGAATAAAAAAGCCCACAGTAATCTTTCTTTTTTCGCTGCAAGTAATCGATCAAACTCACTGACCAATGCCTGTCTTCCCTGTCATGGGCAACGCCCCTCTGGGGAGTTCAGCCCTTCGGAAAGCCTTTCAGATGCAGTTTACCAGAGCAGCCTTAAACCCTCCAGATCTGCTCCCATCTGGTCTCGTCCCCTGCCTAGTTTCCATGTGGGAAAAGGCTGAGCAAACACCAACAGGGGTTATGGGAAGACTTTTAATAGCTTGGCAAGAAGAGCTCCATCCAGATAGCAACTGTCACATGGCTCAGGAAGATGTCCCCTTGCTGAATCAGCCCCACTTCCTGAAGTTCTTCAGGATGTCTGGAGGAAATGTGTCACCTAAATGTGACCCGGTGCTCTTTTGTACTAAAAGATAGGTTCATAGGATCCAAATAAAATAAGAGGAAAATACGCTGCTAGATTAGTCATCACCAACTTCACATTTAGATAGAAAGGGTCCTGACCATCTTTTTAGAGCAGGCTACTCCAACTGGCACTCCCTGTCTGCAGAGTCAAGTCCAAGTCCTTGAGTTGGATATTTCATACCCTCCTCTTACCCCTTACCTGCTTTTCTAGTCTTACCTCCTGTGTTTGGTCTTTCATGTAACAAGGATGGCCTGCTCT